CTGGCATTTTAAAAAATCTACTAGTTTTAGCATCTTTGCTTACCTCTTTTCTCTTGTTTCCTTTCTTTTCACCCCCTTTGCTGCCTTCCTCCCTTCCTCCTTTCCTTCCTTCCTTCTTTTTATTTGTTTTTTTGTTTGTTTGTTTCTGGTACCAGGAATCAAACTCATGACCTCGAGCTTGGCAGGCAGGCGCTGTGCCGCTGAGCTAAATCCCCGGCCCCCTTCCTTCCTTTTAGAGAAGTGGTCTCACCATGTTACCCAGGCCGGCCCCCAACTCCTGAGCTCAAGTGATCCTGCCTCCCGAACAGGCGGGAGCACCCATGCCCAGCACCACAGCTTGGCTGGGGCTTATCTAGTTTCATTCTGTCTCCAAAGTTTCCCCAAAGATTGTATTGGGAATTGGAGGCAGATATAGATGGCTGCAGGAAGGAGGCTGGAAGGAGTAGACATGGCAAGGACAGTACCACTTGTTAGTACTGTATCTAGTACTGTACCTTGTTAGTACTGTACCAAGTGTTTATTGCATTCCCAGCACCTGTCAGTTATTTCTACTCTATGCTCCCCAGCTTCCTGCTTAGAGCGCTGTTCTCTTGGGGCAGTCCTGAGATGGGCCATGCTGTGCTCATTCATTCACCCACTTATTTATTTTTGTTTGCATCAGTATTTACGGATGTGAGTAAAACCTGACCAGGAGAGTTTGGGGGAGAGAGTGAGACTGGGTGCAGCCTGACCTTCGGCCTTCCACAGGTCTCCCACGAAAGCACTCTATTTCTTTACAGGATAGAGGAAGGGCAAGCTTTAGGCAATAAATTACAAGTGGGAGGGGTGCTCTGAACCACAGTGATTGCCCTGGGAATTAGCTGAAGCTGAGGGCGATTTGTGGGGCCACGTTTCCCCCAGCCTGTTTTCTCTGTGTGTGCCAAGAGAATGAATAAATCATTGTTCAGGGGCGGGATGCAGCTGCCGGGCTCCTCCCCTCGGCACATGCCCGGACTCCAGCGCCTCCATTGAGGGCTGCTGGAGCAGAGCAGTTTATACACCCAGCTCCCCAAATCCCATTGAGTCCTCCCCCTTCTGCACGAGCCACCGGCTCCAAGCTCATTCAGCTTGGCCTTTTGTGCTGGGGGTTAAGTGGTTACATGTGGGGGGCACCCAGAAAGGACCTGTCAGGCCCTGAATAACTGTGCTCCTACTGATGAATGGGGTGGGTGGAAGAGAGGTGGGCGGCCAGAGGGCGAGGTAGGAGAGAGGGATTATGGAGCCCACAGGGGCAGCTGCGAGGAAGGGGTTAGAGCAGGCACCCCTTTCTCTCACTCTCCATTCAGCTTGTTCATCTAGCTCAGGAGCAACAGCTTCCAATCTGGGATCTTGTCTCTTGGTAGAAGAAAGTTAGAAGAGGCCATTTACCTCACGGGTGCATTGCAGAGAAAGAATCCACACTAACCTTTCATTCTAACAGCTCCAGAATACCCCTGTCACCTTTTTCCCTTGGCTGGGAGGAGGACAGAAAGATTTCTCACCAGAATTTTCTGGTGCAGTGGATTTGGAACTGTGTCCCACCAGATTTTTTTTTTTTTAAATTTTTTTTATTATTTTGTCTTTTTGAGGCAGGGTCTCGCTATGCAGTTCAGGCTGACCTTGAGCTCACTTTGTAGTGCAGGCTGGTCTCAAACTCACAACGATCCTCCTGCCTCAGCCTCCTGAGTGCTGGGATTACAGGCGTGTGCCACCATGCCCAGTCCCACCAGCTTTAAAACCTACCTCAGGGCTCCAGGTATAGCTCAGAAGTCTTTTAGAGTGGAGGGGTCAGGAAAGAAGAGAAAATCTCAAACTGGGTGTATTGCAAAGATTTACACTAAAGGAAAAACACTGATGCCAGGGCTGAGAATATAGCTCAGTGGTAGAGGGCTTGCCCAGCATGTGAGGTTCTACCCCCATCTGGTTCTACCCTTCATAACCCCCTCATACACAGAGAATGATTCCAGGGCTAAAACAAAACAAAAGTTTAAAACTTTGGATTGGAAGTACCTCACCCTCATTTCACAGCTGAGCTGAGGAAACGGTCATGTTGAGGGTGAGGGAATGGCCATCTTTTATTTAGGGTGGACACACAGTAATTTTCTGTTAGACTAGAGCAGCACTTTACCTTTAAGAGGCAGTGGAGAAATGGATGAGGAAAACAACTGGGTCACCAGCTTCCTAGGCCTTTCTCTCCAGAGATGAGCCAATTCTGGGGAGTAATCTTCCTTCTAATCTGCCTTAAAGGTGCTCTTTGTGTCAGAGGTCCTTCTGTGCCCGGTCTGGGGAGCCCAGGTAACAAAGTTCAAAACTATAATGTTATTCAACAACTTTCAAGGAATATCATCCTTATTTAGCTCAAGGGAGTTAAAATTGTTTGATTTGCCTAAGTTCCCAGAGCCCTTTGGGGAAGCTGACAGATGCGGTGAGCTCAGGAAAAGGTAGGAAAGCTGGCTGCCACGCAGCTTGTCTCCAGGACTAGACTGTTCTGGTGTGGAAACTCTGGGGGTTTCCCCAGTTACTCCCCTCTTGCCCATAGGATGAAGCCCAACTTCCCTGAATGACCTTTTCAGGGAAATGACCTTGCACAATCCTCCCGAACTCCAGTCACACTGGCCTACGCTATTTCTGAACACACTCTGAATATGCAATCTGCTAAGCCCTCTGCTTCTCCTGGTGAACTGTTCACCCCTCACAACCTGAAGGACAGGACCAGGCCTCGGTCTCTCTCTGTTTTCCTCCCTCGCCGCCCTCCTTCCTCCTTCCCTTCTTTTCTTCCTTTTTTCTTTTGTTTGTTTGTTTGGTATTGGGAATGAAACTCAGGGCTTCCTGCTTGCCAGGCAGGCACTGCACCCCTGAGCTACATCCCAGGCCCCCTTCCTTCCTTTTATTGATTGATTGGGGATTGAACCCAGGGCCTCCCACTTGCCAGGCAGGGGCTCTAGAGCTAAACTACAGCCCCGCTCCCTAGGACTGACTAGTTCCCTATCACAGTACTTGGCATAAAGTAAGGACTCTGTAACTGTGTGCTGCCTGTGAACAAAGGGATGGCAAGGAGCAAGAATTTTATTCTTTGTGAGACAGGATCTCACTCTGTAATTCAGGCTGGCCTTGAACTTACTATGTAGCCCAGGCTGGCCTTGAACTCATGGTGATCCTCCTGCCTGCAGCTCCCAAGTGCTGGGATTACAGGCATGCACCACCATGCTTGGAAGCAGCAAGATTTTTAAGGCTGAAACCCTGGTTCTTAGCCACTACTTTCTTTCCAAGAGTATTGCCTTAGAGAAATCATCCACCTATAAAGGAGCTCTAACACCTGCCCTATTTCCTGGAGTAGAAATTTGTGTCATCTTTCCTTGTCTCCTTCTCAACATCCTGGGCCCTGAGGCCTGGATATGGCTACTCGCTGCAGCTGCTCTTGGCTCTGACATGTTTTCTGTCAGTATCCTTCCTCACTGCCCACCGCTTGATGATGAGGGCCTGAACGGCAACAGAGCCTGTTGAGGCTGCCACTGCTCATCGGGTGATTTCTGTGGCTCTGCCAATTAAGTCCCTGGCATAGGGTGAGGGTGGACAGAGCCATAGATACCACTGCACATGGGGCGACTGATTCCCTGAGGTCCTGAGTGGAGAAGCCTCCAGGGAATGAATCACAGGTGTCCCAACATCTGCTTTTCTGTCTTCATGCAGACATGGACACCCCTCCCTTCCTGGCTGTTTTGTTCTCCAGGATTCCATCTCTCTGAAAATTACGGAGCAGCCAGGAGCTCTGTCTAAGCACTGAGTGTACTCATATGGTGCTGGAGTATCTGCTCCTGGGTTACCAGGTACTGTGTTATTAGGAAGCAACTAGCTTATGCAACAGTGCAATAGATGACTCAGCTATGCGCAGACTTTAAAATATATATATATATCCCTCCCTCAAGACACGCAGAATGTTCCCCTTCGACTTGAGGACACATTCTTGGCCATCGTTCTTGGCAATATGTGTTTAACTGAAATAATTTTCATTTTAATTTGAACACTTACTGTATTTTTTGATCACCCCAGTATATAAGATGTGTTGGTGTGAATTAATGTGCAGTTTAGTCTCCCCAGCCCCTGTACATTTATCCTAAGGAGGAAGGGAGTGAAGATTAGGCTTCAGTAAATAGAACTCAGAAGAGGGCTGGAGAGATAGCTCGGTGGCACAGTGTCTGCCTGGCAAGAGCGAGGCGCAGAGCTGGATTCCTGGTACAAAAAAAAAAAAAAAAAAGAAAGTAGAACTCAGAAGAATCCACTGGTGTTTGGAGCCTGGGACCCTTTCTTTTCTTTTCTTTTTTTGGTACCAGGAATTGAACTCAGGACCTTGTGCTTGCCAAGCAAGCACTGTGCTGCTGAGCTCTATCCCTGGCCCCTGGGACCCTTTTTTACCCAGTTCCTGCTCACCTAGGCAAACGGCAGAAGTGCCCACTGCCCAGGTGCCGCGGAAGCGTTCTCTGCCGGGCTGGGAGGAAGCCACCATTGGTGGGTGCAGAGCATTATCCCATCCCCGCCACAGAGCGGATTATCTGTCTTCACTCAAAACACAGCTTTCAGCCTGATGTAATCCCAGCACTCTGGGGAGCTAAGGCAGGATGGAATATTGGATCCCGGCCTAGGCAATTCAGCGACTTAGCAAGACCCTGTCTCAAAATAAAAAATAAAAAGAGGTCTGGGGAATGTAGCTTAGTGCAAATGCCTTAGGTTCAATATCCAGTACCACAAAAACAAAAACACACAAGACAATCCCCCTCCAAAAAAACCCAAAACAAAAACAGCTTTCATTTCATGAGATTAATAAAAAGAAAAGAAGCGGGCCTGGGATATAGCTCAGCGGCACAAGCCCCTCCCTGGCAAGCGCAAGATCCCGAGTTCGATTCCCCACCCTCCCCCAAAAAGAAAAAAAGCACAACATGAATATATAATTCCAAACTGGGGTAAATGCGAAGAGGAAAAAACAAAGGTGTCTAAAACGAGGGGAACTAATTTAGGGAGTCAAGAAAAGGTTTCTCAGAGGGAAAGATCTGAAACAGGAGTAGGTCGCAGGGGGAGACTTTTCGGGAGAAGCAGGAGGGGTCTGTGCAAAACCGAAAGCCGGGGCGGAAAGGTGTTGGAGGCCAGGCCGGTGGGAGGGCCGCGAGGGACGGAGCTGCCGGCGGCTGCAGGGCAGGCGGGAGCGAACCGACCGTTCGGAGAGGCCCGGCGCTGCTGGGAGCCTGCGCCGACCTAGAAGACCAGGATTGAGCGGCGGAGGTCGGATCGGCGGTTCCTGCGCCGAGAACCGAACCGGCCACGTGGGCCCGGCCGCCCCGCCCCGCCCCGCCGCGCAGACGCTGCCGGACTCCGCAGTCGGGCCGGGATCTCGCGCCCACCCGGGCCGCGGAGACCTCGGCTGAGCCGCCTCCGAGCCGCAGTGCCGAGTTCCCAGCGCGCGGGCCGGGCGGAACCAGAGCGGCGCGCAGCAGCGGGCGTCTCAGGCAGTGAGTCCGCCGAGGCGGAGGGCTTGGGGGCCGGGCCGGGGCCGGGGCGGGGCGCGCGGGACAGCCTCAGCCCCGCTCCCTACCGGGCGGGGGTTGGGGACGCAGGTCGCTGTCTTCGTCTTCTGGGGGGGCCCCCCCTTGCTCACGCCGCGTGGAAGGGCGGCTGCCGTGGGTTAACGGGGGAAGGGGGGTTCTGCCCCTGGGTGTCCAGGTTCCCATTTTTACAGCAGAGAACCTCCGGCCCTTAGCACCACCCCGCCTCACTCCAGCTTCTTTCGTGGCCCCGCCCAAGTTTAGGAAAAATTGGGGCGGAGGAAGATCTCCAGGCGCCTGCCTGCAAGCCGCAGTGATGAGAGTGCGCAGGGTACAGACTGACCCCGCTCCAGTCCCTCCAGGCCTTCCGCCCGGTGCTGCAGCTGGGAAATTCTCGCTACCTGCAGAGGCCCCCCGCTTGTCTGCTCCGCTCAGCAGTATCCCTGGCTCTTAACGAGCCTCAGTTCAAATCCTAGCGCTGTATGGGCCGTGGAAACCTCTGGTCAGTTCAAACCCTCGCTTTGGTAGAAGCTGGTCATGCTGGAGGGAAAGACGAGCGTGGCACGTTCTTCCCTTCCTCCGAGGCCAGAAGGGTGGAGCAAGCAAGGGCAGGGACACCAGACTGGAGCACTGGGAGGAGGGGAGAGCTCCTGTCGGTGGAGTTGGGGTGGGGTCCGCAGGACAGGAGGAAGCTGAAGCTGGCTCTTCCAGCCCTGGGCCTGCAGCAGTAGCCTTGTGCTACCATTGGCTCCATCCTCCGGAGCACAGAAATCCCGCTGCAGTCCCCTCCCCCATTCACTGCCCAGCAAATAGGTGCTGACACCTGTTTGTGCCAGGCTGTGCGGGCTCCGGGAATATGCTGGAGGATGTATAAAAGAGTTTCACGTCTAGTCAGGGAGTCATATGATAAATTCACCATACGATTGTTCAAATAAACAGACAATTCCAGCTGAACAGACGCTTGCTGGCCATCAACTGTATGCCAGGGGTAGGAAACAAACGTGGGCCAGACAGTGTGTAGCCAGGGCAGGGGCGACCCAGTGGAAGGTGTAGCTAACTGTGTGTTTGTATATATTTGGGCCATGGAAGATGACCAGGAAGGCTTCAGGGAAGTGGGGATATTAGAGCTGAGTTTGGGGGTGCAAAAAGAAGGAAAAGTTTAGAGGAAGAAACAGGATACTGTGGGAATGGCATGAAAATGATGGTATGTTTTGAGATCTCTGAGCAGTGTGGGGTGATGATGGAAGGGTTTGAAGAGAAAGTATAGAGAGGTGCAAGGGTATTGCGGATTAAGCACAGGGAGCCCTGAGGTACATCCCCGCCCATTTTTATTTTTAATTTTATCTTGGGACAAGGTCTTGCAGAGTTGCCCAGGCTGGGTGCGATCCTTTTGCCTCAGCCTCCGAGGCTGAACAGTTTGGGTCCAGCGCTTGGAGCCGTGACAAATGAAATTTACACTTGTAACTGAAGGTAGATTAGTGAGAAGGCTGTGGCAATAATCCAGGTAAGAAAGAGTCTAAACCATGTGAAAGGAAAAAGGAAAAGATGTTAGAATTTGGTGACCAGTGAGAGGGGGCGAGGAAGGAGAGTGAGTAGTCCAGAATGCTCCTAGGCATCTGACAGAATAGAGAGTGGAGGCCCCTTGCTGAAGACACTGAGATGGGAGAGCTGGTTTGGGCATGTAGAATTTGAGGAGCCTATGGTTGGTTGCAGGGTTGGACAACAGATCTGGGCTAGAGACAGATCTGAGTCACCAACATATGGTTCCTGAAGCTACAGTAGAGAATGAAGTCATCTGGGGACAAGTTTGTGGAATGAGAAGACAGCCTGCCTCAAAGGGCTGAGGAAAAACGCAGTGCAGGACCCTGAGAGTGAACGGTCAGAAAGGAGGAAAACCATGAAGGAAGATTCCCAGGATTAGGAAGGGACTGACCCGCAGCTAGGTTACCACAACTTTAGGCCACTCTGCCCTGTCTTGCTGTGACTCATTCTTTGGCTTCCCCTTCACAGGCCAGATGTTTGCCATCCAGCCAGGGCTGCCTGAGGGAGGCCAGTTTCCCGGGGGCATGCCTCCTGGAGTGTGTCAGCCCGAACTCCAACCAGACAGCAACTCCAACTTCATGGAGAGTGCCAAGGATGCCAATGAGAATTGGCATGGGATGCCAGGCAAAGTGGAACCCATCCTGATGAGGAGCTCCTCTGACTCATTCTCTGACAACCAAGCCTTCCAGGCCTCGGGACTCCTTGAGGGGGTGGTCCGCAGCCCCCCAGAGGGTGCAGAGATTCCTGGTACTGAGCCTGATAAGAATAATGATGCTGTCACTGTCTGCTCCCCTCTAGAAGACAATGGCTATGCCAGCAGCTCCCTGAGCATCGACAGCACTAGTAGCAGTCCTGAGCCTGCCTGCGGGTCCCCTCGAGGTCCTGGCCCTCCTTCAGATCCTCTTCTGCCCTCAGTGGCCCAGGCTGTGCTGCAGCTGCAGGCTCAAGAGCGCTACAAAGAGCAGGAGAAAGAGAAGCACCATGTGCACTTGGTGATGTACCGTCGTCTGGCACTACTCCAGTGGATCCGAAGCCTGCAGCACCAGTTGGTTGACCAGCAGGCCCGTCTGCAGGATAGCTTTGACACCATCCTAGATAATCGGAAGGAGCTTATCCGTTGTCTCCAGCAGAGGGCACCACCATCCAGGCCCCAAGACCAGGGCTGAGTGTGCTTCCACCAGCCAGCGTGCAAGGGTGTACATGTGTTTCTGCAGGTGTGTGTGGTTGTGCAGAAGTATGTACATGATTATTTGTTGGTAGGAGTGTAGATATGCATGAGTGTATAACATGTAAACAGGTATGTGCAGGCATATGTGCATGAGCTTACATACCCTATGTATACATGCAAGCTAATTTACATGTATGAGTGTGTAAGAGTGAATGTGTGTATGTAGCATGTGTGTAAACTTCAGTAAATCTGGGCATGCATATATGGATAGGTGCCCAGGAATGTGTTTATATGTATGAGGATGTACATGCAAAAGATGTGTGTGCATATGTATATGTATGAGTGTGCAGGCTTGCGTTGGGTGTATGTGAGTGAACCTTGCGTGGTCAGGAATATGTTAGGGATGCATGTGTGCAGGTGCAGGCATGGGTAACATATGATGGGGACATGTGTATTTGCAGGCACTCAAATGCACCAAGGAGGCATCTACCCACACCTATCATCCATAGTCTACCCCACCCCTTTTTCTGCCCTCTGTCCCACTGCTTTCTGGAGAGAGAGAGAGAGATTCTACTATCATTTATTGGAGGGTTGTGACCAATCCATTCTCCTGCAATATTCCAGGGCACTTTCCTTCTATCTTCCCCTTATTTATCCCAGATCTTGCCCTGCTAAGGCTGTTGTCTGTCTCTGATGCTGGCTTTGCTAGACGTTGTTTCTTGGCTGCTCTGACCTCCCTTGCACTTGGGCTGCAATTTTGTTAGGGCAGTAAGTGGAAAATTGGTACCAGAGAGGGAACTGGCAGGGGGTGGCGGAGATCATGGCAGGGTGGGTATGGGGACCGAGATGGAGTTAAGAGACTCCTTTTGAACTCTGCCTTTGGTCACATGAGAGGTGAGGATGGGGAAGATAAAAATTTCAGAAACCTGTGAAGAATAAGAGGGTGGAAATAACCAAAATACCAGTTTCCAAATAAACCGTATCTCTCAACTGGGAAAAGTTATTGAAAACCATGTTAATGTAAGCTTCTGATGAAAAGGCATGTAACAGATGAGGTGTTCTAGGGGCTGGGGATTTAGCTCAGCGGCAAAAAGCGCCCGCCTGGCAAGCGCAAGGTCGTGAGTTCGGTTCCCGGTACCGGAGAAAAACCAAAAAAAAAAAAAAAAAAAAAAGAACAGATGAGGTGTTCTAAGGCTATTGGAGAAAATCTCACTTTCCTCTGAGCGCTTACCCTGCCCTCCCTCTGGCTTTGGGTGTCCAGTTGGTTTGGTCCAATGGACTTGGTCCATTTTCTGCAGTCAAACTGTGAGGAGGAGCCGGAGCTCAGTTTCCTGGGTGGATGAGGGCAGTGTCGGCCCAGCCTCTAGAAGCTCTTAGGCTGCTCTTCTGTCACTGCATGGCCCTTTACACAGGAACTGACAAGATTGACTGGCGCTCCCTGAGTTTGAGGGTAAATGGGTCTTGAGGAGAAATAGCAAGTAAGGTAGCAGAGCTCTGTTCTAGGAGCCGAGTGCAGGATGCTGGAGGGCAGGCAGTGGCGTGAAGAGGGGATGCCGTCAAGTGAATGCAGCGTGGAAGTCACTGATGCTGCCCTTGGCCCTCAGTCTCCTGGTCTTCTCTATCTCTGAAGAGTTTCATCCGTGTTGAGTGACTGGGTGAAATGTACAGGGAATGGAGGAAGCTTGGGCCCTGGGGACTGCTGTATACAGCTCTTGGATGATGAATGTGAACCTGGCCTCTGGACCAACTTAGAATGAATAAACTGAGGCAGAATATTAGATTTCTTGAGTAAGTGTTTCTGTTTCACCTGTTGTCTTGTGGCCTCTTGCACTTTGTTTGAACTCTCCTTTTGAGCAGGGTCCTGGGCTGAGGAATAAGGAGTGGAACCAGGGAAAACACTGAGGAGGAAGAATTCAGACTCCTGCACCTGGCAGTCTCAGGGGCCTCCCTGAGACTTGTTCTCTGCCCTGAGGCCCCTGTTTGTGATTGTCCCTGTCCTAAGTCACCTTTGGACCTGAATGGAGTGCCAGGGACACAGACCGTGTACATACCCACAAACTAGACACTGCTCTGGAGCTAGCAATGCCCTGAATAGTGTCCTGGCTACAAAAGACTGAGTCATGGTCCTTAAGTGGTGCTGATGTAGATGTAGTTTTATTTTATTTGCAGTTCTGGAATTGAACTCAGGGCATTGCACATGCTAGGCAAATGCTGTACCTTGAGGTACACCCTTAGTCCCCAAATGTAGCTATAATACATGTATATGATTTCAGATATGTGTTGAGGCCAATTTATGTATGTATGTATGTATGTATGTATGTCTTTTTGAGACAGGGTCTTGCTATGCAGTTCAGGCTGACCTTGAGCTCACTTTGTAGCCCAGGCTCGTCTTGAACTTACAACAATCCTCCTGCATCAGCCTCCCAAGTGCTGGGATTACAGGCATGTGCCACCATGCCCGGCCGAGATGAGGCCAATTTAGATTATATCTCCTAATTTACTAATTTCTCAAAAATTCAGAGGCTGGGGATATAGCTCTGTGGTAGAGCACTTTCTTAGCCTAGGCAAGGCCCTGGCTTTTAAAAAGTCACTTTTTTTTCTGTGCTGGAAAAACTTCCGTATCTGAAATTTCCTAAGTCTAGAGCTCAATCCTCCAGCTCTCCTAGGTCCAGCTCTCACCATGCCCATCCTAGCCTCCTCTCCCCTCCCCAACTGCCATTATTTTCATTAGTTATCTACTGCTGTGCAACATATTAATTGTAGTGGTTTATTTATTTATTTTTTGGTACCAGAAATTGAACTCAGGACTCTGTGCTTGCCAAGCAAGGCACTGTGCCACTGAACTATATCCCTGACCCTACATTGTGGTGGTTTAAATCCCTGCATATCTGTGATCTTATATTTCTGTAGGTCAGGAATCAGCACAGCTTAGCTGGGTCCTCTGTGTCACTATCTCCATCAAGGTGTCTTGATTAGGACCCCAGAGCCTGGGATCTCATTTGCCGGTAGTGAACTCTCAGGCTCAGTTCATTCCATGGGGCCCTTCCAACATGCAGCTTGTTTTTATCAAAGTGCAAGCCAAGAAAACAAAGTGCTAGCAAGACAGAAGGCACAGTTTTCTGCAACCTACCTGCAGAAATGCCTTGCAGTCAGTGTTGCCATAATCTATAGCTTGCGAGCCGCTCGAAGGCAGGCTTATGACTCAAGGCGGCAAATACCAGAAGGCGGGGATCACTGAGGGCCATCTGAGAGGCTGCCCACCACAAAAGGTGTATTTTAATGGGCTAGATAAAGGCACACTTTATTGACTAATTGTATATAAATATATTCTACTCAAACATTTAAACATTTCAAACAAATCTAATGTCTTTTTCTTTTTTTTTGAGACAGAGTTTTGCTCTGTAGTTCAGCCTGTCCTTGAGCTGACTATGTAGTCTAGGCTGGCCTCAAACTCACAGGAATCCTGCTGCCTCAGCCTCCTGAGTACTGACATTATAGGCATGCATCACATGCCTGTCCTTAATGTCTCCTTTTGGCTCCTCCAGCAAAACATTTATTTTAAACTTCACAGGGGCCTGGGATATAGCTCAGCGGCATAAGCGCTTGCCTGGCAAGCCTGAGGTCATGAGTTTGATTCCTGGTACCAAAAAGTAAAATAAAATAAAATAAAATAAAATAAAAATAAACTTCACAAAGTGTATTTCTCACAGCAACAGTAACACAGGACATTAATAACTCTTGTCATCTCCGTAGTTGGTGCATGCATAGAAACAGTATTGAACCAATTTTAACAAATTCTACTTACTGCTGGGGATGGTGGCACATAACTGTAATCCCAGCATTCAGGAGGTTGGGGCAGGAGGAGCACTGTGAGTTTGAGGCCATCCTGGGCTACAGAGTGAGTTCAAGGCCACTTGAGCTACATAGTGAGATCCTGTCTCGAAACAAAACAAAAAAATCCCCCCAAAACAAATTCTACTTATTAAGAGATATTCTGACAAAGGTTTGTAGCTAAATTTGAATAGGAATCCATGGCAATGAGATGATATCAAACCCTGAGAGTGCAAGGGGGTTAACTTTCCAAAAGAGTCCTACAGTGTGAATGCTCCTCTCGCTTCAGAAGCCAGACCCTCTGCATTTGGAAAGCTCTGTTGCTTTCTGTTTTCTGTGACTTTTTTTTTTTTTTTTTTTCTTTTTTGGAAACAGAGTCTCGCTGTGCAGTTCAGGCTGGCCTTGAGCTCACTTTGTAGCCCAGGCTGGTCTTGAACTCACAACTATCCTCCTGCCTCAGCCTCCTGAGTGCTGGGATTATAGGCGTGCACCACCACGCCTGGCCTGTTTTCTGTGACTTTGGACAAGTCAATTATTTTCCTGTCTCTCAGTTTCCCCATCCTCACAGGGTTGTTGCAAAGATAAAATGAACATATAAAATTCAGAATATTAGTACTGTACCTGACACATGACAAACTACATTAATGAGACTTGCTATAATAATGCTTTTGTGGTACACACCTTTGTGAGTGTGTGTGTGTGTGTGTGTGTGTGTGTGTGTGTGGTTCTGGGAATTGAACCCAGCGCCTTCCAGCTCTTCTTTATTTTTTATTTTGAGACAGGAGCTTGCTAAATTGCTAAGTGTGCCAAGCTGAGGTCAAACTTGTGATCATTCTGCCTCTGCTTCCTAGAGTGTTTGTAGTCCAAGCATGCACCACCACACCCAGCACACTTATTTCATAGAAAGAAGAAATTTTTTCTTAAGGTATTTGGACCTAAAATTTGAAAGGCAGCTGAGTGTGGTGGCGCACACCTGCAGTCCCAGAGGCTGAGGCAGGAGGATTGTCATGAGTTCCAGACCAGCCTGGGCTACACAGCAAGATCCTGTCTCAAAAACAAAAACAAAATTTGAAAGGCATCTTAAAAAAAAATACAATGACTTGAAAGCAAAGATGTCTAGGGCTGGGGATGTAGGTCAGTGGTAGAGTGTTTGCCTGGTTTATATGAGGCCCTGGGTTCAAGTACTGAGAAAAAACTTGTAAAGCTGTCTAAGATTTCTTTCCATGAAAGAGCTCCCTGAGCTGAGAAAAAGCTGAGGGTCAGGCCAAGGAAGCATGGTGCATTGTATACTCACAGAATCCTTGTTGGTTATTTTGAGCCTGGGACAAGCAGGGTTGGAGGTGGGTTAGAAATAGACTGGCAAGAACAGAGATAGCCACAGCTAGGACAGTGGAGTTTTGGAGTAGGGAAACTGAGGCAGGCCCCTATGACTGAGTCAACCCAGACTTACAGTTCCCCAGCTACACAGGTCACTGACTGAGATGGGCTGAGGCTACCACCGCACCTCCTGTAAGGGCCAGGCCTTGTGTAGACAGAGTTTCCTCACCTGCGGCAGTGTTGAGGCCCCCAAGGAGCAGGGGGACCTAAAGATGCTGCAGCTACATTAACAATACTGAGCCCTGCTGGGTGTGATGGCACATGCCTATAATCCCAGCACTTGGGAAGCTGAGGCAGGAGGATCCTTGCAAGTTCGAGACCAGCTTGGGCTACAAAGTGAGCTCAAGGCCAGCCTGCACTGCATAGTGAGAACCTGTCTCAAAAAGACAAAAAAAAAAAAAAAAAAAAAAGAGGGAACCTCTCCTCTGCCTGAGACCTGCTCTGGTCTGCACAGGTAGATAAGACGTGCATCCAAAAACCTAATGTACAACGGCCTAGAAGCGGAGAAGTCAGCATTCTGTGCAGGTTGCAGTCTGAGACTTCAGTTATCTGGAAGCTTGTTTCAAAGTCATCAGGGTGGGGATTTCTGAGTCCCCAGGACAGCGAAGGGAGTAGGGAGGATTCCTGTACTTGGGAGAGGTTTGGCCAGTTAGCCACCACCCTCCCTTTACCCCTCCAACCAGAATGAAATCCTCCTTCCGGGAGCAAGGAAGTCTAAGCAGGGTTTTGGTGGTACCAGAGAAGACTTGCTTAGGAGGAACGAAGGCTGAGATCAGAGCTGAGACCCACAGAACCAACAGGGGCAGCGGACGTAACAGAGGTCTGAGCAGGCCACAGGCACAAGACTGAAGCGTGGGAGGGACTAGCAAGGAAGTGGTGAAAGGCTGGGGACCTAGGGAGAGAGAAGGGCTGGTTTCCTTGAGACCTTTCTCTCCAAGGGTCAAGTGTGATCAGGGAGAATGGGGTTACAGCCCGCGGTGCAAGAAGGCAGGAAATGAACTGAAGACTGAGGAACAGTGCAAAGAGTTAGGGGGATTAAAAATGCTTCAGAATATGACGGGTGGGCAGCTCAGCCCGGGTCTGGCACAGCAGGGCTCTGCGTATGTCTAAGGAGATTGACCGCCCCCTGGCGGCAGCCTGTGGCCTGTCTACACGTCACTTTCCTTCAAGCCTCACTCAAGACCCAGCGTTAGTGCCTCCTGGGCACAGCAGTCACCGGTGACCGGAACACGAGAGGCGCCAGATCTGAGGCCTGGTCAAGGAAGGCTTCCTCGAGGAAGAAGACCCCAGAGAACCAGTAGAACTTGAGGCAACAGAGCATGGTGACTTCTAACGCAGAATGGACCCAGATGTCTTGGCTCCTAGATTTACTATCTGTGACTCACTTTTCTCAACTGTAAAATGGGGCAATAATAGTCTTGCTGTCATGGAGTTATGTAAGAAGTAAATGAGTGAACCTATCAAGAGAGCTTAGACCTAAGCCAGGCACACAGGAAGCAGCCCATAAATATTAGCTGCTATTACCTGACAGGAAAGGACAGGAAGGCTGTCAGAGGTCAGAGACGAAGCCCA